TTAATTTAATTTATTTATTTGAGACAGAGAGAATGAGAAAGAGAGAGCACATGAGAGGGGGGAGAGTCAGAGGCAGAAGCAGGCTCCCTGCCGAGCAGGGAGCCCGATGCAGGACTCGATCCAGGGACTCCAGGATCATGACCTGAGCCAAAGGCAGTCGCTTAACCAACTGAGCCACCCAGGCACCCTGGGGTGGGTCTGATTATTAAAACGATGTTGCCCAGCTGTTGCTGAATTTAAGACAAAAGACTAAGCAATATGAGGTAGGTTTATAGTTTAGCATAAAGGGTTTAGATTAGGTATGAATAGGATCTAATAGCAGTTTGATTTATTTGAAGCTGTAGTGTTTTTCTCAGGCATATTATAAAATTTTCTTTAGGTGCCTTCAAAAATGAAAAACAGATTTTCATGTGTTTGTGTTGGGTGAGGTAGTATCCTACTGTAGATGTAAAGATGATTAATTTACTACCATCTCTAATGTTCACCTCTACCCCAAATGTCATACATCCGCTTTATGTCAGTCTGGAAATATTTATGGAATCTGAAGTCTTCATAAAAGTAACAATTCTAGTTTTAAAATATCCTGTTGTGTGCAGTTTGCAGAATTTCAGTATAATTAATGAGACAAGAAGCTGGCATAGAAGTCATTGCTTAAAAACCTTCCTTAATTTTAGCCATTCTGACAGGTGTAAAGTGGTATCTCATCATAGTTTTGATTTGTATTTCCCTGATGATGAGTGATGTTAAGCCTCTTTTCATGTGTCTGTTGGCCTTCCACATGTCTTCTTTGGAGAAACATCTATTCATGTTTCTGCGTATTTTTTAACTGGATTATTTGTTTTAAAAAATTTTGCTTTCTATAGCTGTAAGTCTTGAGGTAATCTATAGAAAAGTTTCTTATTTTATTCCTGAAAATCAAAATTCTTTACATCAGCATGTCATATATAGGAGGATTGCTTGAGTTGGAGTTTTCAGTATTTCAGTGTGTATCATGAGTTCTATATTATGTATTGTTGAACTATTCATATTAAAAAATGAAGCTACTGGCAATGTTTATCCATACATGTATACAAGTAGATGGAAAAGACTAATGTACTTCCAAAACAGGCTTTCTTCTATATCTTATGAGAAAATTCTGACCTTTGATTTTTCTCTTATTACTACCACTGCTGTTGCCACTGCTATGTTTATTGAACGCTTAGTACGTGTCAGGCATTGTTCTAGGTGCTCTAGATATATTAACACCTTCAATTCTCATAATAATCCGCTGACTAGGTACTATTACCATCCCCAAGTTAACAGAGGAGGAAACATGTATAGAGAGTTTAGGTAACTCTCCTGGGCTAACGAGTAGAACCAGACCCTTTATTGTTTGGTTCCAGAACGTGTGCTTCTACAATACTGCCTACCACTAGTCTATTACACTTGTTGTGATAGCACTCTGTGTATTGCTTATTCCGTCATTAGGAAAATAGAACATTTGCACAGTTGGAAAGGATAAAGAATTGCACAGAATACACTGTTTTAAGATTATAGTGTGGATTTTAATTAACTTCTCTTGACTTACAAAATTTGACATCAGGAATTGATTTCATATGAAACTTCAATAGTGTGAAATGTCTATTGGATCAATTTTTATGAGCATATTAAAGAAAGGCAGTGATTAATTCCCACATTCAACTCAGATGCTGACATAAGAGTAAGTGTGCAAACTACAACGCAGCAGTAACAGAGTGACTTGGAGAAGTGGGTGCATGACACAGCAGAGCGGCCAGTAAGTACAATTTGATCCCCTTTAGTGCCAGTCATTCAGAGAGCCAGAATTTGTTCATGCATGTTAAGTAAACTTAAAATGACCATGTATGATGTGGGGGTCAGTTTGGTGTGTTTAGGAAACTGTTTTGTTCAGGAAGAAACATTAGAAACTGTCACACATGTCTAGACAATCAGAATTGTTTATATCAGCAAAACAATTTTCAAGGAAACATGACCTGACTCTGCATCAGTGTTAGAGATCATGAAAACCTTGTGTATTTCTTATAAAATGTTTCAGTAGAAAACAGCCAGAGTGTATAAGCCCCATGTGACTTTAATACATATGAACAAATCAGGATTGTATGAAAAAAATACTCAGTGTCATTAAGTGAAGTAGCTGAATATATTACAAACCCTTGATCACATTGACAATATCATAGAAGTAGTCAACAACCATAACAATAATTGTGAATCAGGAAAGTGCTTTATGTGCATTATCATATTTAACCCTCTCACGGATGAGAAAATGGAGGGAAACAGTTACATGCACACGGTTGTACAACTAGCAAGTGTTATTCATTCACTTATTCAGTATTTATTGAGTATAACTACCATGGAGCCTGGCACTGTTCTAGGGAGTGGGGACTTAGCAATGAGTAAAACAAGGACCTACTTTCCGAGAAGGACCTTACCTTCTGGGAGGGAGATAGACAACAAACAGATAAACATGGAAGCATATGCTCAGTCAGTTGATAATAAAGATTATGTAGAACAGTAAGGCCCAGGAAGGGGGAGGAGTGCCAGGGTAAGGTGCCCGGATGGGCTGTCGTTACTTCTTTATATGGGATAGTAAGGGGGAACCTCTCTGAGAAGGCAAAGTTTTAGCAGACACTGGAAGAGAGAGAGGGATATTTGTAGAGGAAGAACATTCCTGGCAAAGGAGAAGAGGTCCCTGTGCTTGGAGTGCCTGAGGAAGATCAGAGAGGCTGTGTAGTTGCTAGGGGTGAAGGGAAGAATGGTCAGAGTTTGAACCCAGATTTTATCTGACCCCAAAGCCCACATTTTAACCACTACACTAATCCGGTGGGCCAATCACAGTATTACATAACCTACTGTGATTTTGGAGACACTCTGTATTAGCAAAATGCATACTCTCATAGAAAAGTGGAGGGCAGAGAAGTTCTACTCTAGAAGTTGTGTGTTGAGTTGAGAATATGTGAGAAATTCGTGTGCCTTGGGGAGAGGTGCTTTGGAGAACAAAAGGTAGGGAACAATTGTGGACCATATTGGGGAACCTGGGAGTATACCTCCCCTTCTCAGAATACTTTAGTGGTTCTCTATTGCCTTCAGAGTTTGGGGGACAGTATGTAGCTTTCCCAAAGCCCCATAGGATATAGACCTAGTTTTGAATGATGATAAAGACCATTTTCATTACTGCTAAGCTATGCTGCTCTTTTCAGAATGTGAAATCGTTGCATACTCCTTGGCTTCCTGTCACCTACGGAAGGATAAGCCTTGGCAGGGAGTGCAGGGCCATATGTAGTAGCTCCTTCCTCCACTTTTACCCTTCCTTCTGCTGCCCCTCCCTTGCATCCAGGCATGGAGCAAAACAGTACTCTTCAGTGCCATGTATGTGGGACTTTGTACTGAAATGAAATATCTGAAATATCCTTCTCTCTCTTGTTTTCTTGTTTAGAAAGATTTTTATATCCTTGAAGACTTGATCGCTTTCCTTCCCAGACTGAGTTACAACTTCTTGCCGTGGCTGCTTTCAGAGCTTACATATCTCTGTACTTGCTCATCATTTCCAGTGGAAATCATTCTTTGAGTCCCTGTCCTTCTAGCCAGGATTAGAGCCCTTGCTCTGTGCTACCAGAAAAAGCTATGCAAGCATGGACCTGCTTCTTATCACATTTTTGGGGGGGAGAATTTTCCAGCCTCTTCTTTCAGACTCTAAGTCATTGAGAGCGTGTGCCTCATTTTGATCTATGTTGCAACCACTTAGATGAGCACTTGGCGTATAGTTTACTGGCTCATTCAGATTAAACTTAGAATATTGGATGCTGAGTTATAATGATGACAGTTTTGATTAGAGCAAAACAAGTAGAATATGTTGGTCAGTGATGTCAGTTCACTCAGAAAAAAATAGGTGGTAATAAAAACAGCACTACTAAATGAAAGATTATTGTGTGCCAGATATTAAACTCAGTGCTGCAACACATCATTCCATTATTCTAAATGAAATTCAAACTTGAAAGATACACCTTATTAGGTATAACTTTCAAGTTAAATTAATGTCATATTAGATATAACTTTTAAAACTAAACTCTAAAAAATGCATTCATTTTCAAACTGTTGCTCACTGGATGGTAGGAGGTGTTAGTGGGACTTTAAGTGGAGGGAAAATGTCCTTAGAAAGGGACAGACATCAGCTTTGTTTTTTTATACTCCGTTTTTAAAGCATTACTACAAATGTGTATACTTGGCTACATGCAGAGATCTTCCGGAAAGAACACTGTACTCATTTATAATTTGGACATAGCATGGTGGATGAGATAGAGGGCTGTTGGAAAAGTGAGCCCAGATGAGACCCTGCATAATGCAGTGCTTCGTGCTGGATCAACGGTTAATTGTAAAGGCTTCAGAAGTGCCATCCTTACAACCTAAGGCCCAAAGTGGGCTACTTAAGGCCACAGTCACTTAGCCTAATTCCTGACTTTCATTCAGTACAAAACCCATTCATTAGGAAGTCTATTGAGTAGTTTTTACACAGGAATTCTCATTGCTGATTGCTTTGTGTTTCCCTGACAAGTATACTATCTCAAACATATAAGCTTATAATCACTGATAAATCATTTTTAGACATGTTTTTAATTTGGGCTTATAAACCATTTATATGTTACTCTAGCAATGTTGAATTATACTCTGAAATATTTTTGAATGCAAATCTCAAAACAATTTATCATACACTTTTCTCACACTTCTCATAACACAATGTAGCTTTTCTTCCCACCCTTGCCCCCCAAAAAAGGGGGTGTTGATTTTATTATTTCCTTAATTTCTCAATATTTTGTGCTGAGTAAAGTGGATTAGATATTCTTTATTTAATCTTAGTACTTAAAGCCTATCAGAAGAAAAGACTATATTAGTGCTCAGAAAGGATATTTAAGAAATTATTTTGCTTTTGACTCTTCTCGTTATCCAGTAGACATTTATTCTAAAGCTCTTTTGTGGTTTTATTGCAGTGACCCAGCTGCCAGAGCTCTGTGGGAAGCCTTACTGAGCACCAAGCACAAAGAGGCAGTGATGGAAGTCCGGAGACATCTAGTGGAAGCAGCAAGCAGAGAAAACCTGCCAATCAAGATGAGTATGGGTAAGCATGTCCACCTCTAGGACAGACAGTAACCATGGGCTCCGAGGAAGTTGATTTGAGCTTCTCTGAACTGTGGGCCAATCTAGCCAGCATGGCATCTCAGTGAAAGTATCGAAGACATTTGTAAATTGTTGAAAGAGTAGGCAAGGAGTAGGGACACACTGCCCTCAGGGGTCAACAGTGACCCCCTTTTTTAGACTCAACTTTGGGAACGAACACCTCCTCTCCTACCCTCCCTCCCTCCCTCCCTCCCTCAACTTCCTTCCTTCCTTCCTCTCTCTCTCTTTCCACAGTTCTAGATACACATTAATAACAAGTGTGTCTACTGTATAGAGTTCCTTATCCACGAGAATGGTAAAACAAGAACAGATTCATATTGTGAATCAAGAAAAGTAGGATTGCACAAAGGTTTTGGTGATAAGGTTAATTATATTGCAGTTCAATGATGTAACCTAACGATGCTATCACAGAGCATAAATCAATTTTTATTGCTCAATATAGGACTCCTGAAAGATCAACACACTTTACTTTTCTAAAGGACTGTATCTTTTTAAAAATATCAAAGCGAGAAATAAATTGTTAAAAAAGACAGGTAACCCCATGAATTCAAATTTAAATGTTTGAGTTTTCTGTTGAACAAAGGGGAGAAAAAAGCCTCAGATGAAATGATTTACATTCTCCCCAAACTCCAGACATGGGGAGAGAAAAAAGAAGGAAAGATACAGACAGTTGTTAGCAAACTTTGGTTGTAAGAAGAACTGAAAACATTGGCCGAAATCACACTTTATCCATGTGCCAACTGTAATTTGGTAAAAGCTTAACAGTGCGGCTCTCCGTTTCTGCTTCCTATCACTAGTCAGAATTTCTGGTGTGTCTCATTTTCATATACCAACAGATATATCACCATGAACAGTAAGAAAAGATCTGGAGCTTAAACATAATAAAACACTGGTATTTGAAAATTCCTTATCACATAGCTTATCATAAAAAAAATCATGCTCTGGCCTCTTAAATGGCTGGAATGCTTTTTCTAACACCATTTAAAACTATGAAATATGCTTTAAACTATGTACAATTCTCCCAACCCCTACTGTAAATTCTACTGAAGTATACATTTTTCTGTGATAGAGGTTTCTAATACTTTTGAGACATTAAACAGAAATTTTAACTCAAGATTGAGGATTCTCTTGTATTTAAATTGACTAAGAGTGAACCCGTGATTCTAACCTCAGATCTTAAATATAAAATTTCTCAGTACAAGGTAAAATCATATTAAAACCTTATGAACATCAATAGAAAGAAACACCATTCTGTGAAAGGAAAAAAGTTTAATTGCTAAAACAAAGAAAAAGTTCATTTTATCATTTCACATATAAACACATGCCGTATTTCCAAGAGCTTGTTATTAAATTGTCAGTTAGCTAAATAAATGTGTTCCAAAAAAGTGATTTTTAAAACATTGTAAGCTGAATTGATTTTTTCTCATTGGCTTTCAAGATGAAAAATGTATCCTGAAAGTACAAAAGAAGTAGACTCTGAGAAACCCATTTGTTTGGATCCAAAATGTCCATTTACAGAAGAAATGAGTAGAAGATACCTGTCTCAGTTTCAACATTTTACACAGAATCTGTCTCTCTGGAGTCCTTCTGTGGTTGGAGGATTTTCACCAGTTTGTCCTCTTGCTCTCTGCAGAATGGACATACTTCCCAGTGTTTAATGGGTGGCAGGAAGATCACATTGGAGCTGAAGGAAAACAGATTTCTATGACATCTTTCTTTTGCAGCCAGATTTCTTGGCAAAGTATTCTATGCTTGATTTATTCTGTTTCTTCATTATTTTCTTGCTTATTAATCTAGTGCAGTCTGTCTTCTGACACTTTTTTACTAAATGCTAAGTGAAATAAGTCAAGCAGAGAAAGTCAATTATCATATGGTTTCACTTATTTGTGGTACATAAGGAATAGCATGGAGGACATTAGGAGAAGGGGGGGAAATTGAAGGGAGAGATGAACCATGAGAGACTATGGACTCTGAGAAACAAACTGAGGGTTTTAGAGGGGAAGGGGTGGGGGGATGGGTTAGCCCAGTGATGGGTATTAAGGAGGGCACGTACTGCATGGAGCACTGGGTGTTATAGGAAAACAATGAATCATGGATCACTACATCAAAAACTAATGATGTATTGTATGGTGACTAACATAACATAATAAAATAAAATTAAAAAAAAAAAGTCTCCCAGACCACTAAATAGAAGTTTGTTTTTCTCAGTCCTCATCCTCCTTGACTTCTTTGTAGCATTCACTTCTAGACTCACTGCTGCCTTGTGCATGTGATTATGATGGGGTGCAAAACCAGCTATGTCTGGTTCTGTCACTGAACAGCCAAACTTCAATTTCTCTATCCAGAAAAATAGGGAAAATACCTATTTCCTGGAATATTGAAGAAGAAAGAAAACTCTGAGCACAGTGAAGGTCCTGACGGAAGCAGGCTGGGATTGGTGTGCAGTGGGCCTAGAAGCAGAAGTCTGGGAGAAGGAATCTACACGGGAAACCAGATTATAAGAAGGTTGTTTGACAAGAGGGCAATCAAAGCAAACAAACTGCGTTTGATGATTTTCCCCTTTCTTTCTGGGAAATATGCTTACTCATTCTTCCCAATTCACTTGTCCTTTTCTAGTCTTTATGCTGAGTATCTCCCTTTTGATAACACATTCTCTTTTTATGCAGAATTCTAAATAGTTTTCCCATTTTCAGCTTAGTGATGATTACATTCTGTCACCTTGTCCCTGAGTCTGTTCACCCCCCAAATCATGTTGCTTGTATTGGGATTTCCAAGCTTCTGTGGTCACTTCTGTAGAAAAATCTTTTGAGCTACATTTTCAGATGATAATCTGATCCATTACATTGAGATACATCTTAACCCTCCAAGTTCTGGGCACTGTAGTGTCGCTTCATATACTATTAAATGGGATGAGTTCTTTCAACCGTTTGTGAAAAAAGGCCTTTTGCTCCCTTTACCATTGCAGTTGCCTCTAGTTTGGAGCCATAGACATAGCCCTAGTTTGTTCATGTCCCTCCGAAAATGTGATGTCCAGAGCTGAAGAACAGTGTCTTGGTCTTACCTCTTTTTGGATACTATACTTCTCCTAATGAAGCTCCAGATGAAATTAGTGAGTTTTGCTTCCCACCAATGCCACACTTAGTATCATTTCCTCCTTTACCACTTCATACTACTGGCTTTAAAAAACAGCAATAAGGGCGCCTGGGTGGCTCAGTTGGTTAAGCGACTGCCTTCGGCTCAGGTCATGATCCTGGAGTCCCTGGATCGCGTCCCGCATCGGGTTCCCTGCTCGGCAGGGAGTCTGCTTCTCCCTCTGACCCTCCTCCCTCTCATGCTCTCTGTCTCTCATTCTCTCTGTCTCAAGTAAATAAATAAAATCTTTAAAAACAAAAACAAAAACAAAAAAAACAGCAATAAATCAAAGCACTCTACAGTCTTACTCAATCTATACTTTTTTCAACATCGTTGAGGATACTGTGTTTCCTTTATTGGTACTTGAGTTCATCCAGTTCTGACTGGATAACAACTACACTTTGATCACATTAATATCTTTTGCCTTCATTTTGGAGAATTTTATCTGGGACTAAGGGGAGCATGTGTGCATACACATCCGTGTGTGTGTGTGTGTGTGTGTGTGAAATGAGTGGGGAAATTGTCAAACTGCAAAAAATCCAGTAAGACCCACATACCATGTGATATGTAGTAATTTATAAAAGATGAGAAAATCTGGCTGCCTCACAGGACACATACACGGATTATTAACTGTCACACTTCCTTGTCTTCATATAGATGCTGTCACCACAATTTGAGGAATGGGGAAGGGAATTGATTTTTTAACAGAGGGTTTTTTTGTTTTTTTTTTTTTAAGTTTTATTTACTTATTTGTCAGAGAGAGAGAGCACAAGCAGGGAGAGCAGTGGGCAGAAGGAGAAGCAGCCCGCTGAGCGGGGAGCCCGATGTGGGACTCGATCCCAGGACGCTGGGATCATGACCTGAGCCGAAGGCAGCCGCTTAACCAACTGAGCCACCCACGCGCCGCTTAGCAGAGTTTTACACGGTTTGTTTCATGCAATGCTTTCAATAATCTTTTGAATTTGGTACTTTTTTTTTTACTCCCATTTCACAGACAGGAAAGACTGAGACCCAAAAAGGTGCCGTTTCTTTGCCAGGATTCCCCTGCCAGTTGTGAAGTTATTGTCTCTCAGCTCTCACCTCACCCTTCCCGTCTGTAACGCTCCGGCTGGCTCCCTGCTAGAGGGAGAGGGCAAGGCTGGCAGGGAAGGAGCCACGTGCCCCTTCCTCTCTGCTTCCTGCCGCCTTCCCTTCTGCTCGTCAGGGTCAGGCGGGCACCCCGGCACCACAGCAGCTCCGGGCCGCGTGGCCATAGCGGCTGAATCCACTGTGCAGTCCGCCGCCCGGTGCAGGAGCGGCTTCGTAGGCCTGCCCCTGCAGAGGTGCCCGCGCAGCCGAGGAGGGCTCAGTTCTCGGACGTCTGAGTTTCAGTCACACGTCCCTGTGTTTCTCAGTTTTAATAATTCCGACCTCTTCCCTTTGTTTCCTCTGTCCAGTGGTGGGATCTGCTTCCAGCAGTTGCCACGACTACGATACCTTGGAGTTCTCTTTGTACCCTGTCAGGGATGCAGTTAACAGTTTTGCGCGTTACATTTTCTCTGTTCAGATAACTGCTGTGTCTTGTGCCTTTCTGGGCCCAGACTGATACAGTCTTACAGCAAGTAAGCCAGGATACAAACCTGGGTCTGCTGACTTCTGTATCAGGCCTCTGTCTAGATAGAGGAATCAAACTACTGAGACACAGAGATGATTGTGCCATTCCTGCGCTTAAAACCCTTGGGTGGGCCCCCACTGCCTCAAGAGAGTGGCCGACCTCCTCAGCATGCTGATTATAAAATTCCTCTGCCGTCTGGCTGGATGTTTTCCCCA